ATACTTACTTGAAAGCAGAAGCTCAGTTGTGTGGAAGAATGATTGAAACATTTTAAGAAAAGAAGAAAAATTTATGTTAGGAAAAGTGTTTTTAATGCCTGAATGTATTAGGCTTCAGGGAAGACAGCTGCATCATTTTGTATATTGTGGGCAGGTTGCAAATATATGTGTATATGGTCACACAGAGAGCCATACCAGAATTATTAACTTACAATTCCACGTTAATAGTAATCCAGGCATAATAGTGGCTGGTATGGAACTAGCTGTTACAGATCTGGACATGATTGATGGAGCAGGTCCATCAGCTCAAGTTCATGTATCAGGTGCTGTCCCCCAGAAAGGAGAGGTACTCAGTATGACACTGGTTTCTTTCTTGGATGCCACTAGCTCATCTTGCTTTAATGGGAAATCTGTGTGAATAAACTGGCTCAGATGAATTCTGCTTAGACTAGCGGATCTCATCATTTACCCAGGCATCCGGAGGAAAAAGGCTAATGTCACTTTGGCCAATGAATGAACACACATCTTGTTTTAAACAAGAATTGAACAGAATCTTGTCTGAACTTTTGAAAAGCATAGTTTACTTGGTCAACTATAACACAGTTCTAAAAAAAATGCAGTGAAGCTCATGCTTACTCTGTGTCAGCAAAGTCCTAACAGTACAGCAAAGATCAGCTTTTCTTTAACTTCTTTAACAAGGATGGCACAGCACTCTGGATGAGGACAGAGATCACAAATAGGTTAAAGTCATAATTCCTAATATAATTTTCACATAAAATCTGCCTGCTGCTGTCCTCGTACGATATGGTGCTCATAGTTACTCTCTCTGTAGCACACACGTCTTCAGAGAAGATGCCGTATCACTAATATTTTCCCTTTATGTGCTCCTTTGCTTATATGTCTCACTTGAAGAAAAAGCCATCGTTTCCCCCTGTGAATCTTGATCCTTATGATAGAGACCAGAAGTCTTGGTCTGAGACTATTCTGAGTCACAGTCTCAGCTCTCTTACACAGTCTCAGCTCTCTTACTCATCACTGGGATCTCTGACTTTTCAGAATATGGCATATTCTGAAATGTTACTGGATCACAAAATCTCATTTACTCTTTTGAAAACAGGGCCAGTTTATGATATATATGTACTTGCTAAAGTAAATAATTTTGCACAACAGCTTTTCTTAAAGATAGATATTTTTAACAGATGTTAATTTGTTTAGTAATCTGCTTTTCCTCCTACATGTAAAGACTGATCCACAGAAAAAGAATCCTACATGAATACATGTAATAGTATTAAGTTCTCTACAGCTCCCCTGGAAACATTTATAATCTGAAATCCTGAGTAACTGCTTTCAAGTCAAAAGCAAGAACTGTAAGAAGTTACATTCCCACTGAGCTCATAGAAACTCCAGTGTGATTCTGACTCTTTGTTACTTTGTGGAACCTTTTAATGGTATTTTTTTCTCTTAAAAATAAATAAATAAATAAATATATATATATATATATATATATATATATATAAAAAATCAAGATTGTCCTCTCGTCCACAATTGTGCTCGGGTTCATTCTTATTTCTCAGGTGGAAAAATGCCTTCAGTAGGTGTGACTTGAGAGTCCACGGAAACCCCTCCAACAAATCATCAGACAAATGTTAATAGCATTACTGTTAAAACATAGCAGGTTTTTTACATTAGTTTAATTGCATATAATGAAATTTATTTTGGTTACTAAGTGGGAACTCTCACAGGTGTTTCATCATTTTGGGTTTATCTATCTTTGGTTCCAGCTGAACTCTGCATGTTTAGTTACACAGGATCTTAGGGAATTTGGAGCAAGGAAATACGAAAAAAAGCTTTCTTTTTTTTTTTTTCCCCTCATTTGTTTGTATGTGTCTGTGTGTGAAACTCCAGTTTGTA